CCATGATAAGATGATTTAGACCCCCAACACTCCAGTCCACTGAGAATCCTGAAGAACGAACCCGGCATGAGTTCATTCTCCTTCCCAAGAGAAAAGCGAGCAGGAAGAAAGAAAAGGGAGAGGTATGTTCGCTTGTCCTCTCCTGAGATGGTCACGTTCCTTTCCATTTGCTTCTGCGGTCTGCCAGTGGGAGGGTGACTTCAGCCCCACCCTTCTTGCCAGAGTGCGAGGAAGGCACTGAGGCCAGCAGCCTCTTCTTTGCCTGCGATTAGATCTACAACTGGGATCCGTCCACCTGGGGCTGACCTGGGCTGACCTCAGATACAATCTCTGTAGCTTTCCAGAATGGGCATTTGGTGTGTGGAAGGGTTTTCATTTCAAGGCTTTTCTTACACTCAAAGGCAATTTACCCTGAAAATTGTTGCCGTGAAGACAGGAATGAAGGATGCACGCTTTCAGCTACAAAGTCAGTCCTCCGTTCTCTCTGACAAACTACCTCTGCTCCCTCCCAGAGCAAAGATCTGATGAAACACTAGGAGTGGGCACACCCAGTGCACAGCAAGTCCCAAATTTCATGGCATATGTGCCTTTCCAGATGACTGCATGGATACACTCCATAACACATTGTTAAAGTGATAATTAGCGATAGACTTGTTATGAATATTCCAAATAAAATTTCTCTCCACAACAGTTGATGGAGACAAAGGGCATCACACAAAATATAAGAACTAACACAGGGCTTTTAAAACATATAAATGTATATATTTTAAAAGGCATTAGGAAAACATCAGAAGTTGACTTCAACAAATTGAACATCTCAGAATCCATTTTCAATGGGAGGCACATGAGTGTGTAGATTTCTCCCACAGTGCTGAGGGGAGGTACAATGCTCCCCTTCAAAACAACAACAACAACCGCAAAACTCCAGGAAGGGAAGAGAAACCTAATTGGAGAAGTCACTCATCTGTTGCCCTGTTTACCAGCAGCTAAGGATACCAAACATGGATAGTGAAAAAACAAAAACAAGAAACACAGAGGAAACGCTGAGGAACAAGCATAAAGTGACCCCAAGCAAGGTGACTCACACTTTAAGAGTGAAAGAGAAAAGGCTTCTATTCCTGTTTCACCTTTCCCCCTAAATGAAAGTGCTGAAGGCGCCAGCTCTGCCCCCACAACCTTTTACACACATTGCCGTTTTTAAATTCATAGCGATTCCGTTCCACATGCAGCAAGGGTGATGCCAATGACACACTCCCTCTCCTCCCCACTGCCTAATTCACCAGGGCAGATAAAAGGCTCCAGGCATCCAAACTGACCGTGGTAAGGAAGGGAGGGAGCCTCTGAAGCCAAAAGAACAAAAGGAGGGGTCCCAGACCCCACCACAGCTGTGGCCACTGCAGACTGAGAACCAGCGTACCTCAGGGGCAGGGAGACACCAGCCCGGCAGGGCTGAAAGAGAACGAGGAGAGGAATGCAATTAGCAGAGTCGCTGTGTCTCCTCTATTAGCATCAGGGATTCTGAACTTGCTCAGAATAATTCTGTCTGAAGGGGGAAGCTGAGCTCCAGTTCATCAGGGAAAGTTGGTGGCAGCATGTGCTCCCGCACAGTCCCCTGCAGGCAGAAGCCCCTGCGGCCTCCCTGCAGTGCCACCAGACAGCACCCAACACCACTTCCTATCTGAACTGATTATGGGGTCCAAGAACAGTCCTAAAGCCATCTGTTCATCCCCTTCAATTTCTAGATGAGGAAACCGAAGACCAGCTTGAAAACAAGGGGCAGGACTCATTTCGGATCTAGGACCGGAGTAGCAGTCCTGCGTTTTCTATTAAAATAATGCTACTCCCTTCTTTCCTTCCTTGGACTACATTAACATCCAAACCACAGAATTATCTTGTAAAGAGTAAAATGAAGTATTTAGATAAAAATCTGGAGAAAGGAAACCACCATCTGGTACAGGACAGTCTCAGCACTGCAGATGGATCCCAGCAGCCTGACCCTGGCTTCTGAGGGGAGCCGCCCGGTGCAGGCGGCCAGCGGCAGCCTGGGGGCGGGGCTGCCGGCCGCCTCCGGGACTCGCACTTCCACTGTAAAGCCTTTGCACCGCCCCTTCCTCCTGCAGGTGCGCCTTCCCGGATACCCACAGGGCTCCCTCTCTCACCTCCTTCAAGTCCGTGGTCGTCTGCCCCCTTCTCAACGAAGCCCACACTGACTGCTTTCTTTAAAACTTCCCCCTGAGACTCCCCATTTCCCGCATCCTACTTAATTTTTTTCCACACCACTTACCACATTCTCATAGATTATGTAATTTACTTGTTTATTACGTTTCTTGTCTACCACCTTCGATTTTTAAAAATTTCCACAAGGACAAGGAATTTTGTCTCTTTTGTCTCACTCGAGAAACTCCTGGGTCTAGACTAGAATCTGGCATATTAATAGATGCTCAATAAATACTGGTTGAATAAATGAATGAATGAATGAATAATTGCTCTTTCCCTTCTCCTCGTTCCTTAACTCTCTCCCTCAGCAACAACCACCCACCTCCCTCCTGCACACACACACACACACACACACACACACAACCACAGAGCTTTCTGCCCTTTCCTCTCCTCTTCTCTACCTGTATCCCAGGCCGGCCGCTAAGATCAACAGGTAATTCAGGTTAAACTTAGAAATCAGTAATAATAATGCCAAGCCCTCCATTAACCACTCATATTTTATATACATGTATAGTTTTACATGCATGGAAAAAACTCTAGAAGGATACACAAGAAACTAAAGAAACTGATACCACTGGCTATGTCCAAGGACCCAGATGGCTGGGCCATACAGACTTTTCACTATCGGTGCTTTTGTACTATTGGAATTTTGAACTATGTGAATGTAATTCACTATTAGATGTGCTTAATTAAAAATAAAAATTGGACAAAACACGTATGCCTCCAATATTGTCCCTGACACCACCTGAATACACAGTCTTCTGGGTGAAGATCACCAAAATGCTAGCAGCTCTGGGGTAGGGCGGTGAGACAGGGCAACAGTTCTCTCTAGTCCCCACATTTTCTTAAATGAGATTGTTACTTTTATAAAAATGAAATATTTTTAAAAAGTTTCCATCAAGCAGAAGGATATGAATTAATGCAAATTTCCCTGCATACATAAAACATCGAGACTTCATTTCAATCCATGAATCCCTTTACCTTTAATTTTGTTTACTCCCATTCAGATTTCACATCGAACAGATTTCCGAATAAGTCATATAAGATGGTGCCAGGGTCTCTGGAGGAACAAATGAAGGGCACAGACAACGCCTTAAAGGGGGTTGCATCCAGGGAGGATGGCCTCAAGCAAGCCCCGCTGCCTGAAGACATGTGAAAATGACAGCTGAGAGGAACAGGCCAGTGGATAATGTGTGATTTTCATGTTTTCACTTTGGGACTTTCAGAGTGGTCCAAATTTTCTGCCCTGAGACGTATAACTGAACTTACTCCACTATGGAGTAAATGTGGGTTATTAGCCATTGGCCTTCTCCAGGCTATGAGTTTTCTGAGGATGGAGTCCCTGTTTAATTCATCTCTGTCTTCTCAGCCTCCAGCTTGGCACCTTGCTACAGTTGCTGCTCCATAAATGGCTTATGAATGAATGAATATTTCTCACTATCCAATGAGGAATCACAAGATCCACCCAACACCAAATTCAAACAGACACCACCACTCCCTCATTCACCATCTGCTTAACTCCACTGTCTTTCAGAGCGATGCTCTGTTCTGGGCAAGGGAAAGGAGGCCAGCTACCCAAGCATGGATATACGAAGTCACGCCAGAAAAGGCACGGGGGTCCTCCCAGTGGCCGAGTCTCTAACACATTTGGGGCACACGGCAGTAAATGCTGGCTCCATACTTGGAGGTCTTTGTCACCTTCACTAATTGTCCTTTGATCTCCTTCTGGGGAATTACCTCAAGGAAATAACTGTATAAAGATGAGACTAGAACCATTGTAATTGATGCTGCTTTAAAACAGAGGAAAGTTGGAAACAACCTAAATGCCCAGTCTAATGTGATTAGGTAAATACATGATGGTATATCTCTGTAAATGAGTACAGTACTCTTACATTACAATGGCTACAGACTCAGGTAACTTGTGGCAGAAAAAGGAAAATGGGGATGTGCATTCTCCAAGCTGTATCCACATGGCTTTATTCCCTTATACTAAATGGTTTAGTACCCTCATCTTCTGTAAACTACACTTGGCCTGAGTTTTTTCTCCTGTAATTAAAACTTGTTGATATAGAAAAGCTGTTCATGATGAACCTTAACTAGCAATGAGTGTTATCAAAGAATATATGTGGTATTGTGGCATTACAGTTACATATATATGCACATATGACACTATATGCCTAGAAAGGGATCTAGAAGGTTTATCAACAGTCTCAGTAGTTAACTTCTGGGTAAGGAGGATTAGGGAATTTTTTTCTTTTATTTTATTTGTCTATCATTCTGATGTTTTTATCATAAACATGTGCTTCTTGACAATAACAGAGATAACAACTAAAGTTACTTTTAAATGAAGAAAGACAAGAATGTTGAGAGAAGGCTGGCCTCCTCTAAGCTACTTTCTCCAGGAAGAATTTCTCAGAAATTCACAAAAACCACACTTTCTTTCACACATCCAGACAAAGCACATCTGCCAAGTACAGGGTCCCCACCAGGAGAGGCAGAACTGCCACTGTGTGAGTCTCACCTGGGACACGGGAGAGGGGAAAGGCACCAGGAGCTGATGGAAGACACACTGACCAGGCCAAGTAGCATCTGCCAGAGTGGACCCTGTTCACAGATGAAATAGGCATGATATGAACTCGGAAACTTCTGAACAACAGCAATGACTAGTGGTACTTCTAATCTAAAAAGACCCAGCTTCAGGTAAAACCATTTAATCCAGAACTCAGAGGGGAGAAAACATTAAGATTTTTCTCATAGAGAAGATTAACCAGAACTCCCAGAGCTGAAGCAAGAAGAGCCTGCTGAAAGGTGGATATAAGATCTTCAAAGTCCATGGGGAATGGCCTCCAGGGTTGATAGAATCCCATGCAGAAGGGAAGGTCTCTTCTCACAATATCCATTGGTAAAACTGGTCATAACTCCACAGACAATTTTCTCAGGGTAACTCTAAAAAGCATCTGGACTAGGGCTGCTGCTTCGGCTTCTCTGGTCTTTGTTCCAGCGATCGCAGCTGCAAGGTGAGAAAGTCCTGCTGGGTGTGCTCAATTCAGTGCGTCCTGGACAGACAGCTCAGGAGCCGCTGGGGGTGACTCTTGGTCATTGCTGGTATCTGTGAACAGGGAGAGCGCTTATCACGATGGGACTCCACCATTCCCCTGCTTTCATCATGTCAACAATGGACAGCAATGAGACAAGCAGCCGGAGCGGGCAGTGGGCGGGACACAGCAGGAGCGTGGGGAGGGAGGCAGTGCAAGAGGTTAACAGGGGTAGCAGGGCCGACAGCAAAGCAGAAGGAAGGAAGGGCCCCGGGATGGAACAGCACAGTCAGAGAGGAAGATTTCAGAAAGAGGGGCAGGAGGTGTGAGCAGAGAGGCAAGGGCAGCTTGGGCTGAAGTGCTTATTCCTCGCCATGCCCTGTCACCTCCTGCTTTACCATCTGCCTCCCGTTCTTTGCCTTCTGGCCCAGTCGGGGTCATCCCAGCCCCACCTCCCAATTCCTACCGACTACTAACCCTCCTCAAAGCCCTACCAGAGAAGCTGACTTACCTCCTCCATGCTTGGGCCTGCACGCCTCCAGTTTCAGCCGTCCCTGGGCTCCTGCTGGGGTGGGGCAATCCTTCAGCTGTTGGTTTCCTCGGTATTACACTCTGTGCTTTCAGAATCTCCTTTCTTCCCATTCTTCAGGAAGATGTCAGGGCGTTTTGTCCTTCGACTGGACAAGATCCAGCAGGAGTAGGCAACGCAGGGCCAAATCCGAGACACCAGACTGAGAGGGACAGGAAGGGGAAACACGGGACAGTCCTGGGTGATCTGGACCATCTGGTCACCTCATTCTAGTTTTATGAGTGGACATTTAGACAAGGAGACCAAACTGGATCAAAACTCTGAATTCAGTGTACAACAGTCACAAGATGACTTTCTATTTGGGACTCAAGACCTTTTGTCACCACTGATCTTCAAAACACAGGTGCAAGCAGATCTGTCTACCAAAGACTTATAAACCCAGGACAGTTTAATCCTTTAAACATGTGTGAACACTAACCATAATCAACAACCAGCATCACTAAAATCAGCATCCATAAAAGCACATCTGTTGCACCCTATGTCTAGGCTCCCTCCAGGATGAGAGTGTCCCCTTGTTAACACCTCCTCTAAGCAGGTGCTCACCTGGAATAGCGAACAAGACTCGGTGCCAACTGGAAGAGCTTGGGCCCAATCCCAGCATGAGCCAGGAGCTTGCCTTCTGCTTTACGGTCACAGGACTGTTTGCCAAGCGAAGCTGGATAAACATCTTACAAACGCAACCATTTCCTGTGGCCACAACAATAACTGAAACGTAAGAATCCATCACTGGCAACCCCAGATCTGAAAGCATATACTCTACACAAGTTGTTCTCCAACTTCAGTGTGCAGCAGAGTTACCTGGGGGCCTTGTTCAAACAGATTTTGGGGTTACACCCCAGGGTTTCTGATTCAGTGGGTCTGAGGTAGAGGCTGAGAATTTGTATTTCTAACAAGTTCCCAAGTGCTGCTGCTGCTACCTCTGATTCGGGGACTGCACTTTGGGAACCACTGGTCTATGCCAAGACGGGTTAATAGCAGATCTGTCTTACATCAAGGAACCACCACCATTATGAATGACTCACTTTCACTTAGCACACTAACCTCAGCCAAAGCAGAGGTGCAGAAAAGGCTGCAACGCAAAGAAAAAGGGTGATAAATGCATTTATTCTAAGGCCTTAAAGGAAAAAATGCCTTCAAGTTTATCTAATCTAACTCCCTCGCTTAATATAATATTACTAAGTTTAGCGAGGTTAAGTGACTTATTCAAAAAAAATTAAATGAAATCCTGATAACAGAAGAGAGCAGAACTCTCCCCTCCCCCGAAAAAACCCAGCAGAACTATTTAAAATCATAAAAATGGACTTCGAAATCCTTCTGACTTTTGCCATTACCAGGATACCAGGGGCCAAGAGTCTCTACAATTGGTGAATTTAGGTTTTTTCTTCCTCTCCTGCATGCCAAAGCATTTCCCATTCCATGGTCATTTCCGAGGAAGCCTATGATGGAAGCAGTTCCTGGTTCTCTAAGTTCAGCTGGGAGTCCTGGAACTTGGAACTGGTCTTCTCATAGAAATCCCATTACGTATGTGCAGGGTCCCTAGGTAACTGCTCCCACGAGGCACAGAGCTGCTGAACCCCAGATCACAGCACACAGAACCTAACCACCACGAAGGATAGTATTTCCTTACTATCCTTCTCATTCTGTGTTTCCACTTGGACCCTTGTGCTTCCTGGTCCCTCATCCTCAAAAACTGCTGTCCCTGGTTTTCTCCTGTCAGGCTCCTTCTGTTACCCAAGTTTTAGCTGGTATGTTTCCTCTTCAAGAGTCTCTCCTGAGCACCTAACCCCTAACCCCTAACCGGAGCAGACCTCACCCCCACCTCCTGGATAATTCTCTCTATCCCGTTACCCTTCCCTATCTTTTTTATGGCCCCCAGCACTGCCTGAAACATTTTGTTCATCATTTACTGGCTTATTACCACCAGACACTAGGACAGGAACTCCAAGAGAGCAGGGACTTGGCGTGTCTTGTTCACCACTGTAACCCCAGGGCCTAGAACAGTGCCTGGTGCTTAACAGCTTCTCCACACGTATCTGTTGAATGAACAAATGAATGTACCAAAGAATTAAATAGCCTAAGACACCAGGAGCAGCTTCCTCCAACATGGTTCCCAAAGTTGGATTTGAAACTTTCCTTCCAGTTTTTTCCCTTTCAACAGTAGGAGCTGGGCTCCTGGAGCTTTCCCAGATGTGCAGGATAAAATGTCCCTTAGGCTGGCATTCTCAATGACAGAAGAAAGAAGACAGGAAGTTCCAGGACTGGGGGTGGTGCAGAATTGCTCCCCGGCTCTGGTGCCGTTTCACACAGAAAGGATGCTGTCAGGTCAGCTCCAGCTGGGTATAGGACTTCGGAGGCAACAGATAAGTAGAATGATATGATGTTTTAGAGTCAAGAGATTTGGGTTCAAACCCTAGCCAAGTCATTTAAATCTCCTTGAGTCTCAGTTTCCTCATCTGTAAAAGGGAGGTGGTGAAAATACCCAAGGCATAGTGTACTTGTGAGGATCAAAGAAGTTAGAATGCATGAAAACTCTCAGTTAACAGTAAAAGAATGTAACTTGTTATTAAATGATTCATAAAAAGACCAGGTAGCTTCTGGAGGGATCCTAACCGGTGACATGCCTCAGGACGTGCACCTCCACTCAGCCCTGCTCTGCCGCCTCTCTCAGTTCTCCCCAGCACCCTCAGGTCCCAGGCTGCTGTGTGGAAGCCCGCAGCCCGGCAGCAACGACCTGGAGTGCTGGCTCTGGCCATTCGGAGCGCCAGCCAAGCTGCCAGCAGCGGCGCAGCCAGCAGCCACAGCCATAGGCGATGTGGCCAGGAGGAAGCCAAGGAGAAGACCACTGTGGGAAGCCGCAGAGAACATGGGGAAACTGCCGGTGGAACTGAACCAGGGCAAGTAGTAGGAAACAAGCTGAGCTCCCTCGACCTCTGGCCAAAATTCTCTGGATAGCCTAGACTCTCAGAGATGAGAACTTGAGAGAAACCGAGGTTCCCGCTTACCAGCAGGCCCGGGTCCTACGGGAAGGTCTACCCTCCCTCCCTTCCCCAGGTCTCCTTTACCAACCCTGAATTAACCAGTGGGCTGCATTACCCGGTTTCCCATTAACCCAATTCTAATGCTCCAGGCAAAGAGGCACTTGGTCACAGGAGCCCTCACATTGCAGGTGTCACCTCTTCTAGCCCAGTCACTCCCAAACTGTTTCCACTCCTCCTTAAGTGATAACCTGAATGACAAATCTGAAAGAAAGGGTAATTTCTCATCCCTTTGACCAAGAGTTCACCTCACTCAGGCAACTAAGCGCTTACAGCTGGGCCCAGCCTCCTGGCAGCAGGCCACATCCGTGGGAGGATAGGCACGGCCACCGGTCCCTGTCTGGAACAGCAAGCGATCGGGAGGAAGGCACAGGACTCCTCACCACCACCACAAACTGCTACATTCACTGCAGAAGAGAAACGCACGGGGTGGGGAATAAAGGTATCCTATTAGGGCATCTTCTGTGGCTGAGTCCTCTCCTGACTTCAAAATGCTGTACCGATTGGGGTATCTGGACCACAGGCAAGTTCTTTGATTGCTGGCAGTGTTACGATGTGATTGCTGCTGGTGGCTGCCTGAATCAGGAAAGTTCAGGGGTGTCATGCATCAAGGGACTTAAAGAATAAAAAGAATTTCAACATGCAGAAAGGGCAAGAAAGGGAGCTGCCAGCGAGGGCAGCGAGTGGGGCAGAAGGGGCCAAAGGGTGTATGTAACCAGGGCAAAGCCAGGACGTGGGGCGTGGAAGCGATGAAAGCTGGTAGGGTTTGAGATACCCGTCAACTCTCCAAGGTGAATTGTCCAAAAGCTACAAGTCCCCACAGGCCACCCATCAGCTCTGGGTGGATACAAGCCTATAAACGATGATGAATGTGTGAGTGTGTCGAGAGGGCCAGGGAAATGCGTATGTTGAGGGTTGCTGGCTTTCAAGGGACGAGAAGAGAAAGGTGCTGGAGAGGTAGGGAGACCATGGAACCTTAGCCTGTCCACTCTCTGGGCCTGTGCCCAGGTTCACCTATTGCCCTCTGATCCTGTCCCTCTCCCTCTGCCCCAACACCTGGTTCTGGGCTGGGCTGGGCTGGGCTGGGGAGGAAGAGCAGGACTCTGTTACTCCAGGAAAGCTTGGCAGACAGGTAGCACCTGCACACAAGGGCCACCCCGCTGCCAGGGCGAGAGGTGGAAAAGGGATGTCCACTAGCCAGAGACAGGTGTGAAGACCCATGGTCTCTGGTTTCAGGCTGGGTGGGATTGGCTGTGGAGCACCCCCCTGAAGAGGGGATAGCCTCACTCCTCCCTCTGCGCAGGTTCGCCTCGCCCTGTCCCACTGGACCTCTCTGCTCGTTCACCCCTCTGAGCTTCTGTACAGACCAAGCCCTTGGTCTGGGCTGCACTTCACAGCTTCATCTTGTCATGTCCTCATTGCATTTCCAAAACCTGACTTCAAACTCACCTTCTCCATGAAGCCCCTGACTCTTTGTTAAAATCAATCTTTTCTTCCTCCGCCCTCCCCAAGTACACTGTTCTCATAGTACTTCCCATGTACCAAAGGTACCCATGGCTCTGTCTGTTTCCCCTGCCGTAAAAGCCCCAAGATTAGAGTCTTTATCAGGGGTCACAGATTAAAGTGCACACGGAGCCAGGCAGGTCATACAAATGTGTAAAGTAGCTCATTTTGGGGACCTAGATGGTAGCTGTCTTGGTGTCACTCAGACAATTGGGAGTCTCAGGATCTCTGATGAATCAGAGGGACTGGCCTTACCTAAAGGGGAAAAAGGGAATGTGGGCCAGTATCACCAGAACTTCACACGTGGTGGGGAGGAGCATTCTCACATGAAATCACCCCATCATTATATGTCAGAGGCAAATTCAAATGTAAGGTACCACATTGTGAGCCAAATAAAATGCATTTGCAGGCCAAACCAGCTCAAGTGTCACCAGTTGTCAGCCTCTAGTTTTATTTCTGCATCACCTGTGCCTGGCACATTGTAGACACTCAAGAGATGCTTGTTGATTGAAAAGCAAATGAATGAAGGGATAGAAAAGAGGAGCAGATGGGTGGAAGAGGGGAAACAGGATGGGTGGCCAAATGTCATGATGCCAAGTGGTGG